GTGTTGTGATGCTACACCCACTTCCATCAATAAGGCAATGACTATTTCCTGAATTACACTGACTCAACCCACCACAACCCCTCCTGTCCTCAGGTGTGTGTCTGTGTCTGAGAAAACAGATTTTAGATTAGAAAAACCAACCTAATTTTCCTACCTGAGATGTTTTCTGTGCATTCAACATTCCTATCAATACATATGCAATAGATCTCATTGATATGCCAGTGCTGAAGCATTAAACAGTCACAAAACCCTCAGCACTGGGATGGCCACCACCAGTGGAAGTCATTGACACCTCACAGAACTGGTTTTCCTTAAGCACACACTCTTCAGGGTTGGTTTAGTGCTGGCTGGACCAATCCTTGTAGGAATTTTGATGCAGGTATTGAAGCACTATGATGTTAAATGAGATTAACTTTCTGAAGTGAAAGCACAGAGGTCATTAAGCTCTAATGCATACTTGCACAGTGTGACAGGGAAAATACTGTGTGGAGAAAGCTGCACAAAGCCAATCAAGTCACAGGCTAGTGCCTAATATGGTTCATTTCCTTCTTAGCCTTGGTGTGTTTAGGGCAGTCTGAGGAGTGTTGAAATATTTACAAAATCAGATGTCATGAAATCTAATAAAAGAACTGAAATCCTGGGTTTCTAACTGAAGCCAAGAATTGACTGACTTGCAAGCTGAGGTACATCTGAGCTACAGCTGGAGCTGTATCAGCCCAGAGGAGTCACCCAAGGATGAGCTGAGCTTGGTAAAAAGCTCTTTATTGGTGAGCATATTGAGATGTGACTTGGATTCCCCTCTGAACATTGCAGTTTGAGAGGGAGCCTATGACCAAGATCACAGGCAGCCTGGAGGACAATCACCACCAGAAAGAAAAGAAAAAGCAGAGTTGTCAGTGAAAGTGTGTCACACCAGCACTGATCAGCTGCTCAGCAGCAAGGGGACATGAGGAGGGTGTCCTGGGGGGGAAGGGAGGAGCAGGCAGGGAGTACGAGCAAGGCAGGAACACAGCCACCTAAAGCACTTATTTACCTGCAACAGAGCATGGGATGTGATTGAGAAGATAAATTTCCCATCCCAGTCTGCCCTTTAACCTTATTTGTAGCTTGTGGGGCCAGCAAAAGAAGATAAATTTGTCTTTATCCTCTCTGTACTGAGCTATTACATACCCTCAGCCACATTTCATACCTCGGCGCCTGGAGGAGAAAAGGCAGAGAGCAATCTCTGCAACAAGAGTGAACCAAAAGCCTTTTTTTTTTCCCTCTCTTGGGCCTATGTCATCAATCACACACCACAAAAGCACAGGCAAAACCCCAGGACATGGGCGTGGGAATCCTGCTGTGTCCAGGGGCAGCTGGGGAAGGGCATCTGAGCTGAGTATCTGACCTAGAGCAAATTGCTGTTTCTATACAGGATTTGTGACAAGCAGCCTCACACAAAGTATTTCTGTACTTCAGCACCTTGACTAACCACTGCTTAGAGTGAATCTGGGTCCCTCCGAGGCATTTTCTCTTCTTCACTTTAAATTCTAAGCACAACAGAATCTCTTTTACAAATCCTTTTGCTAAGTTTCTGTCACTGCATCTCCCAGGCACCTTTCTCCCAGCGTTTTCTTTAGAGCAAGTCACTGTCTGAGCCATCATCTGGGTGGTACCTTCAGACTGATTACACTTGCAGGTAATTAGAAAAGCTCTGAGTAATCTACATTCTGATAAATGACATCCAAGGTGACATCACCCTTCTATCACTTCATCAAGTGTCCTTGAGTGTGAAGCTGTCTGAATTAAAATCAGTGTTTAGGAGGTGAGAGCAGCCACGTGTTGCAGTCCCCTTTTCAGGCAGCACCCCTGGGGAACTGGCTGCTCTCAGAGCTGGTCTCTGTTACCCAAAGCACTTCCATTCTCCTTGGTGCCCACCTCTTTCTGCAGGTGGAGATGTCACTGCTGGGATCTGGAGCACCCATGGGATGACCCTGCTGATGGGCACTGGGTGTCCGGGCAGCACCCTGGGCTGTCTGCTCTGAGGTGTACAGCACAATGCCAGCACATCCTGCATTTTCCCCTGCAAAGACAGTTGTGTTCTGCTCAGCCCTTCCCATAAAAACAGCTTTAACATAACACATGCTACTGTAAAATCCTTTTGTCCAAAATATTGCTCCATGAGTCTGACATGGCCTTTTAGGACTGACGTGGATGGAACCCCTCTGCTAGGAGGCCAGCAGGAGAGAGTTGGGGTTGTTCAGCCCAGACAGAAGGCTCCAGGGAGACCTTCTTGAAGCTTTTCAGTAGTTTAAGGGGCCAGAAAGCTGGGGAGGGACTTCTGAGCAGGGCCTGTTGGGACAGGGCAAGGGGGGATGGTTTGAAACTAAAAGAGGGAGACTTAGACTAGAGGGAAGGAAGAAATTTCGTACACTGAGGGTGTTGAGCCCCTGGCCCAGGCTGCCCAGAGAGATGGGATATGTCCCATCCCTGGAACCATCCCAGGGGAGGTTGGCCAGGGCTCTGCTCCAGTTGCAGACATTACAGGGGTTGGGGATGTGGATGGGTGGTTGTGGTTGGACTAGATGAGATTTAAAGGTCCTTTCCAACCTAAAACATCCCATGATGCTGATTCCATGCTAAGTGGATCTCTGTAGCATTCTTAAACACGAGCAGCAAGAAGGAAACCAATGACCTGTTTAAAGCCAAAGCTTGTTCCTGTCAGGCTGGGTCAGTGACTACATCAGGCTGCCCATGTAGCTGGATGAAGTCTCCTCACAAACAAACCACAGCATCCCTCAAGGGTAGAAGCAGCAACTCCAGGGCCTGGGCAAGCACAGGAGGCAGCAGTACAACTTCACAGCACTGGAGCATGCCCTGAACCATCCCAAAATCAGTCACGTGCTACAAACAGCACTACTAATTATGGTGGGGTATTGTATTTAATCTTATCTACAAATAAGGTGGGGTGGGCTCAATGTGTTCTCCTCTCCTCATTCTCTATCTCACCCATCCCAAGCAGGGAAGAGTTCTCATGGTTAGATAAATATAAAATGACACCAGTGTAGAAGTTCTGCCTATAGGAATGTTTCAGAAGGTTTTGTGCTGAAGAAGTCAGCTGCTCCCAGGGCAGAAACTGATGCCCTGGAGCTCAGCACTGCTCCAGGTTACAAATTACCAATCAAATGGTGAAATAAAGGTGATGATCATTCCTAATATTATTACGTCGTCGGGATATTACGACTCTCACACTGGCAGTATAATTCAGAGCTAATGCTTTTTCTGATGCACAATTTACTCCAGCTTGGAGAAGAGGGAAGGAAGATGTCAGGGCTTGTCTTTTGGTAGAATATTGAGCTGTAACGTGGCATTTCAGCTCAACAGGGTAAGTTAGCCATCAAAAAAACAAAGGTTTCTGCTGAATCTCTGCTGAGGAAAGGCAGACACCACTTTTACATCCACATCAACAAGCACAGCCTGTGGGCAGCTGGAATAAAATAATGGCATACATGATAAGGGTGACAAGATGCTTTCAAGAATTCCTGAAGATCTTCTAGTGATTTTTAGTTGAATTCCAGCCTTCGAGGGAGACTCCAAATGCCAAATTTAGCAGCAGTGTATCCCCAGTGGTAACTGCATGTTTCTACGTACAAAACTCCTACTCCCATCCATGAATTGAAACCAAAAAGCAGATGATATGAAATATGGAAAGTTTTCATCAATTTTCAATCAAAGTAAAACGTATCCTCCTATGAACTAATTTCCTTTGATCAAAATTCAAGGCAATTATTCAACATAACACATTTAAAGGGCTGCTGTGAAAAATTAAAAGGAGAGGGAAGGAAAAGCAAAGGGAGGCAAGGGGAAGGCAAGGGGACAGCAGCCAGTTCCTGGCCCTGCCATCAGCATCACAGGAGATACATCCTGCCCAAAACTTGCCTGCTGCATCTTCAGCTCTGAGCACGTGCCCCAGAGGTTCACACCACCAGCACGGGCTCAGCAGTTTGAGGGCAGACTCCTTGCATTTTTGAGTTTTAGAAAGATTTCTCTAGACAAGTCCTTCCAACCTAATACCTGAATTAAGCACAATATCATTAGAGTGGCATCATCGTCCTGTGGATCATCTGGCAGCACTTGATGAGGTGTGAATAACCCCAAGAGCACACATCTCTTCCATCCTCTCCTTTCAGAACGACCAATTCAGGTTCACAGAGCTGCCTGGTCAGAGGGGGGTGCTGAGAAGTGCAGAACTCTGTGAAAAATTGAGCCACCCCCACTGTTCCTTGGGCATCTCTGTAACCAACAATAATTCCTTGAATCTCCATGTAATCAGAACCAGGAATTCCTGGAAAAACTGGGATTTCAAACGGTGGGTGGTACCTCAAATGGAAAAGGGTGAGTCTGTCAGAAAGTAATACAAGGAGCATCAAACAAGATGCTGCTGAAGGTCACAGACCTCAGGCACAAACACAGCCAGTGCATCTTCTGTGCCACTGGGTTCAGGCTGCAAAAAAAGGTTAATTAACCCCAGTTCCTTAAACGACATGAGTGAGAACAAAACTCTGATCAACTTTATGCTACCTAAAATGAAAAGCTTTTACTCTGGGCTAATCTTTTCCTACAGGTGCCTCTCCTTCAGAAGCTAAATCCAGCCATGCAGGGTTAGCACCTGACCTGAGCAGATGACACAACTGGTGGCCAAGGTGTGACGTGCAGCTGGGTGATAAGGCACAAGGGGTGGAAATATTCTCTGTCTAAAACAAAACAACAACAAAAAAACCCTCAAGCCATCTTGCACTTAAAAGTATTTCTGGGTCACAGGGAAAACATTGATTTTCCTGCTGGATGGACAGCCAGAAAAAAAGGAAGAAATAAAAGAATGTATTTTGGGACTCCTCTCATCTACTTCTCTCGTCCTCTAGGGCTGAGGCTGCTGTTCCATTTTCTCTACAACACAGAAAATTGGATTTATTGTTTCCCTGTCTCCCCCCCCCTCTTGCTCCCCCTCCAGCAGGTGTTACCTGTGCATTTACGGTCCGTGTCTTCTTTCTTTGACCCACTGATGGTTAACTTGCAGTTGAAGTTCTCCTCCCAGTACTCTGCAAACCACACGTTCCTTCTGTTGTTCTCCAGGGTGCGGGAGGTAAAATAGGCATCAAACCCTGGAAAAAGAGGAGAGGGAGGAGGCTGAAGTCTGGCTCGTACTGCACGGGGAGAGCTGGAGCCTGGAAAATTAATACTCTGTTGATGTCTTCTGTGGCATCCAGCATGTGGCTACGTCTCCATCCACACAGGATGACCACGGGAAGAAAGGAAAGCTGCTGCAATCACATTTCTGAAAACAGATGCATCCTGCAAGTAAATTAGTCCCCTACTGACTGCAAAGTGCACAGTTAGGCAAGATATATGTCAACAGATTTATAGAAAAAACAGTTATCAGTGAGGAAGTCAAAGAAATGCTATGGTGCAGCCAATATTCACTGAGCTCAATACAACTAATTTTATAATTAACCTCCCCAGACCCTCCAGAGAAGGTGGTTCCATCTAAACTGGCCATTACCAGCACGCTGACTGGTTTCATAGCACAAACCTGTCCCTTAATTTCCTTTCACAGAGGTACAGGTAAACTCAGAGAGCAGAACTTCTAAGAGGGATCTGTGAATCACTGATTTCCCAGACACTGGGATTAGACAACCTGAAGTGAGGAAAAAAAACCCAAACCCAAAAGTTTTCCTTCCTTAGAGCCCTGAGATCCAGTTTGGATCACTGTGTGGCAGTGAGGAGTTTGTAGTTTCCACACAGCTCTTACCCAGATTCTCTCTCTCTCTGCACTCCACTTGCCAGAAGAGAAACATACTCTGCTTTGGCTTGATTTTGTTGCAGAAATGTTTCTCCCTGTATATACACACACACACACGTTTACAAACACAGACATGTGTGGATAGTGATTAAAGAAGAGGCTTACAAACCAGGAGGGCAAATAAAAACAAAAACCTGCTACAAAACGACACAGTTTGTTAAATTCTGATCACAGATTAGACCTGCATTGCCATCGGTCCCCTGTAGGGATTTTCTCTATCCAGTTCTCCAATCCTGCAGTTTAAAGCCAAACATGCTGTACCAGTTCACACAACAGCCCTTCAAAGACCTTCCTCATTTTAATAGACTTTTCTCACAGCACAGAACTCTGAAACAAACAGTTTCCCAATAAGGAACAGCAGCTTCAGACCAAAAGGAACATCACATCACCACCTGCCCTGGGCACTGCTGCCTCACTTTGCTGTGTTTAATCACTCCTCTCTCTGTTCCATTCTTTCACAGGCAAGATAACTCCTCAGAGCCCAAGGAAACCTTTGTGCATACCAATAACTGCCAGTCAACAGGCAGATTTTGTAAGCCCCGGGAGGCAGCAGCAATCTGCCCTTTGCTGGTGCCAGGAGTGCAGCCCCCAGCAGAGCCCAGGGTGGCACCAGGCTCAGCTCAGCCCCATCCCAGCCGGGAGAAGCTGCCCCCGACAGAGCTGGTGGGTCCCCAGGAGCACAGGGCAGGGACCAGCATCCTCCCACGACAATGTTTTTCAACAGATCACTACCCCAGCACACAGTTTTGGTTTCTCTTGGCAAACACGAGCTGCACAAGGACAAGTATATTAGTGCCTGTCGACATGTGCATACACCACATCTTTTGTCCTTCCTTTTTGTGGCAGACACGCTGTATTCTCTCGTCTGCTCAGAGGGAAGAGTACATGGAGTGATGCAGCCAAGTGTTCTTGGCACAGAAGGTGGAAAAGCTTCCCCACCTCTGCACCAGAGGTGCCAGGAAAACAGGCAACTGTTGTTTCACCCCTTCAGCCAGGTCCCAGGCTCCTGCCAGCTGAAATCCCTGCTGAGCTCCCCAGGATTCCCACATCTGGCAGTCCCTCTGAAGGAAGGGGGCTGTGCCCATCCTCTTCAGAGAGCTCTATCAGTCTTAAATGTATTTGAATAGTAGGATAATAGGATGTTCATCCCTCTCACTAGTGCTGAGTAGTCTTCCCAAGTCCTTCTAGTTTCCCTTTAGCCTGCAAAGAGCCACATCAGAGCTTTAGCTCATGGAGACAGTTTAGATTCATTATTTACCATGTAACCTCCCAGAACTACAATCCCACTTCAAGCTCAGGTTACTGAAGAGTTCTTTTTCTTTTACTAAGAAGGTTGTTGAAGTATTCAAACTATGCAAACGTGAACCCAGGATAAAGCAGATCAATCTAAACGAGGACCTGAAAATGCTGGTTGCTCACTGAGAAGCTCAGAGGTAAATTATTGGCCATCTGAAAAATGCAAATCCATTAAAGATGCAAATCTCAGAGTCTCTATATCGTCCATTACTTGGCTTTGCAGCCTGGACTAACGTTGGAGAAGAGGCTGGAAACACAGAAGCAGAAAGCATTTATAGATACTAAACCATCTCTCTGTACTGCATGATCACATGGTCCCTTTTGATTTTGCAGTTAGAAATGACACACACATTCCACTGCAAGAGGAAAAAAGCTCCTTGCACCATAGCTGCCAACTCCTCCCACTGCAATAGGTGAGTAAATGGCCTCAGTCTGGCACTCACAGAACATTAGAATCACCCCACCCAGAGAAACTGAGTTGGAGGAAAAACATATGGCCCTGTTAAATTAGCCCAGCAATCCCTCCACTGCAGGATAAACCAGAGAAACAGATGTTCTCCAGTGAGACAGACGACGAGGAGTGGGGTCAATCTGCCTCCCTGTATTAGCTCCCTGCACTACTGACCCAGCTATAACAGAGATCTTCCTAATTCTCAGCCTCCTGTTCATGACTCCCATCCAAAGCCCACTCCTCCTAAGACACAACGTGTCTCCAAAACCCAAACCAGAAAAATATGCTTGAGACTGATACCAACCCTAAGCCAGCCCAACTTAATGCTGTGCTGAGAGGTCAGCACTCAATGACTGCAACCAAATCCTGGAAACCTGCAGCCAGAACACCAAAATGGGATTGGAGGAAGCCTCATTCCTGTGTTTAAGTACTATTGAATATTGGAGTCAACTCCACAGAGTCAGTATGCCATCTCCAGTCCTTAATGTGGTTTTTGCAGCTTGAAATGAAAACTTTCCAGAATAAAACTAGGTGAAGGTGCCGGGAAAGAGCTGACCTGTGATGGCTGAGACCCCCAATCTCCTCCTGTATTTATCCTAAAGCAGGGACTTAGAATCATAGAATCCTTTAGGTTGGAAGAGACCTAAGAGATCATCAAGTCCAACCATCAAGCCAACACTACTGAGTCCTCTGCTAAAACAGATCAGAATCTGTCAGGGTTGGAAGGGACCACAAGGATCCCCCAGTTCCAACCCCTCTGCCACGAGCAGGGACACCTCCCACTAGATCAGGCTGCCCAGAGCCTCCTCCAGCCTGGGTTTCCCATGTTTTAGGGAAATAATTGACTAAAACTCTCCTGCTACAACAGCTCTACTTACTAAATGACAAAGTGGTGACTTGGGGATGCTTCTGTGCACATTGTCTAGAAAGGACAGCAAAACTTCTGCACTTCTGGGATGAAATTATCTCAGGATAATTTTCATGTGACGAGGTCATAAGAAAATATTCTTAGATTTCAGGCACACACAAGCTAAACCCATTTTCCTGTAAACCTATGGGTACTAGTTTTATTCATAATTAAAAGAGCATTTCCCAGGGGATGCTCCCTCACAAGACCTGCACTGTATACATGGCTCAGAAAGAGAGTGAGTCTTCCACTCCAATGTGCCAAACTAACTGACCTCTGGGAAAAGTGCTCTGTAACTTAATAAGATAAAAATCAATAAGTCTTGATAAAGTTGTAACAGAATTCCTTAAGAGCTCCTCTAAACCTTTACAGATTTAATAACAAATAATAACGTTCTCATTGATTTTTTTTTTAATGATCCCTCTGTATCCTCAAGAAGGAATATGGATCTCTAGTAAAGGGTGTGCATTTTTTATCATTATTTTCTACTGAGCAAGAGGAGCAGGCAAGTGACTGACAGAAGGATGGAGTTAAATAGCAGGACAAATTTCTGCTAATTCCTTACTGGGAAGTACTGGGCACCCACTGGGTGCTCCTGGCTGCACTGTGGATCACATCACTACTGCTCCTACAGAGCCCAAATCCTGCAGAAGACCTCCAGAAAGCATCACCTTGGCAAACTGCCCTTCTTCCCAAGGTATGGAATCATTTTGGGTGGAGAAGAGCTTTAAGATCATCAGTTCCAACCACCATCCTAACACTACCCAGCCCACCACTGCCCCGTGTCCCTCAGCACATCTCCACGGCTTGGGAACCCCTCCAGGGATGGGGATTCCACTCATATGCATAGTGATAAACATCAGAGTTTTGGGGTCAGGGGCTTGAGGAATTAGGTGACCCAACCAAAAATGCCAGCTGCTTAAATGTAAAGTCAGAATAATCCTTTCTTTCCCTTGCACATGGCCAATTACTGCACTTGTGTGACAAGATTTAGTGATTTCCCATTATTCCCCATATATCATACTAAAAAAAACCCATTTTTTTTCAGCAAATATATCTTAGAGATAAAGTGATTTTATGAGATTTTACCTTTTCTAGCAAATATCTGTAAAAGATAGTTATGGGATTTTACAGATGACAATAAATCTCTTATTATTTCAAAACGCTGTGATTTGATTAAATCATTATTCTTGCACATGGAGAGATGATACTACCTAATAGATTCATTCATTCTCCACCCCAGGATTAATATATAGATTAACTATAGAGCAATGAAACAGACTTAAAAATTAAAAAACAGGGGAAAGGGGCCCAGTCCCAGGCAGGGTGGAGGGCTGGTGAAGTCCACGTGAGGGCAGGGACGAGCATCACTCGGCTGTGAAGCCACCAAAGCATCCCTGTGATCAGCACTGGGGCTGTCCAAGTTATTAAGTGATTGAAATTAAGAATTAGCTCCCAGCTCTCCAGCCCCCCCATCCCCTCTCAACCCCCTCAGGGCCTCCAGGACCAGGGCATCAGCACGGAAGGAGGATCCCACAGCACCATGGGGCCAGCAACACTTAGAAGAGAGCTTGATTCTCAACCAGAAATGAGGTTTGCTGACTGGTGGTTGCTCTTGACACCCAAAACAACCCCAAATCATTTATTTCTGGCCAGCTGCAGCACAGAGGGGAAAACAGAGGCAGGCTGAAAGAGGAGGCATTTATCACAGGGAAGGCATCAGACATCACAGGGGCAAGGATGGGCTGCAGGAGGGCAGGGGGGCACCCCAAAAAGCACTAGGAGAAGATTCCAACAGGGGATCCAGTGCTGAAGTGGCTCCAGTGAGACCAGCAGCAGCCAAGTGAAGTTTCCAGTGTCCCAGGAGGTGAACCACAGGCAGGTGGCTCCTGAAGACCCACGATGACAACGTGCTACTGGCATGAACGAGGCAGACAGTTTTTGGGAGAGATATATTAAGAGAGACTTCTGTCACTTCTTGTTTACCAGATCACTAGCACACGCTGTGAAGCATCTATCTCATGTGTCAGCAGTGACTTCGAGGGCTCTGGAGCTATTTAACAGGGACAATAATTAAGTCTAATTAAACCACAGAACTTGTTGACCTACTGAGCTTCTCACGTGCCTCAAGTCTTTTCCTTCTCAGCCCACGTGGCTTTTGAGCAACTGCAACATATTGACCCAAATTCATACAGGTATGGATTTTATCTATTTATCCTGGTTTTATTCTTCCTTGTTTTGTCCAAAGTATGTCCTCATGAAGGGTTGTTAGTTATACACATCTTATTTACCCAGCTAGTAAATCATCACTTATTACAATTAGTGATGTCAAGTGTGTTGAGAAAGTGGCTACTTTGGTAATTTTCCCATTTTCCTGGCCTTTGAGCCAAAAGAATTTAATTTACTGACACTAAATCTGGGATAAAAGCTTTAAGTATGGAATGATAAGATCAATTTTAAGACAGCCAGTATTTTTTTCAGGTTTTATTATGTTGCCCAAGCCACACACTACGTAGTATGATGAAGCTGTTGATAGTCTGCAGATATTTTCTTGACCTTCTCACTCAGTAAAAACTCTGTAATACTAAGTGATTTTATTAACTTCCCTCAGCCATAAAAATGCTTTCCAGTTATTTTCTTTTTCAATAGCTGCTGCTTATAAGAGTGAAAAGGGTTTTTTAGCTGATGTCACATTTGACTTTATACACATGACATGAAGTACATACAAAGGAAATTCAGCTTGCCACACTTAAGGCAAACCTGGGATCTCAAGCTATAAAGATTCTATTATAGAATTAGATCTATATTGGCTAAGTATCATCGTTATCACTTTTATAAAATTATACAGCTGCCACAGCAATGAGATCATGACCTAGGTGGTGTCCAGCCAGTGCTTGAATAGAATGGTTAATAGAGAAGTCTATTAGTCATTCCACATTTTATTGCCCTCAGGCACTCCTTGCTTCCCCAGAGCTCCCATTTATACCAATAGAAACAGCAGAAACCCCCTAAATTTATTTCTCCTGTGTGTTGTTTTTATTGCCAGACCAGCTGGAGGCCTCAGCTGAGGCTGAGGTGTTCCTGTTGCAGCAGGTACTGGACACACAGCAAGGAGCTCGTCCCCATCCCTGGTTTCTCTTGCTGCCATGGTCTCCTGGATGGCAGCAGGACCATCCTCTTATCAGAAGAGATAAGGAAGGCTCGTGCTCCTCCTCCCCCAAAGAGCTGCAGACTTCATAAGGCACTAAGTTTTTGTATTTTCCTCCACAGAGGGACTTTCTAGGCTGACACCAGCATAAGTCACCCGGGTTGCTTTGTGCATAGAGTGCTCTCCTTCCAGCTCAACACTCCTCTTCTCATCCAAAGGTCTCCTGCTGCAGGGATGAAGGGTTTGTTATGAACTGCAGCATGCAGAGTCCCAGCCGAGGGAGATGCTGCTCAGAGCCTGTGCTCACCAGGGAGGGTCTGGGGCTGCTGGAAAGCTGAGCAGCAGAATCAGGCCAAACAGAACAGATTTAAAAACACACCCAGAAGCAGAACGTCTCTCCCAGTAATTCATCCTTGCCTAAGTGGACTGTTTGCCTTGCCAGGACCTTATCCACATAGCACTTTTTTCCTTCATTCCTGAAGGTGAGTGAAAAGCTCTCTTCTTTTTTAATACTTCTCACAAGGCCACTTGGTAACTAGCTGCTTTTCCCTCTCCCTTGCACGCTCAGCCTTCTTGAAATCATCTGTCACTTCCTGTTTTACCAAAAACTAGCTCAGCTTCTGCAGTGATCTCAGCTGGCAGCAGTGAAACCCAAGTGGAGTCACCCAGGGACAGGCAGCAAGAGGAGGGGAGTCAGGGCCAGGATGCACATCACTCTTGCCTATTCATAACACCCCCAAATTCTGAGCTGTTCCTTCAGTTTTTCAGTTGCCATTAACTATTTAACCAAATCCCTTTGTACACCCCGAGGTCTTTTTTCCCATTGTTTTTCTAAGTTGATTTCCCCCCCCTTTGTGTCCAAACAAGGGGTGCTGCTCCACAGAGAGCTTGTTTCATTTTAATAACACCAAGCAGTAAAACCAGAGAGATGCAGGAGGTTTAAATGCAGACCCTGAGAATGGTTTTCTTCCCTTTGACAGCAGCAGCAAAATGCACATTGTGGCTCCCTAAAAGCATTTAAGCTCCAGTCGTCTGCCTGCATAATTTAAAGAGAGGATAAAAATACAGAAATCCCTCCACATCAATGCTGCTGCTGAAGTAAGCCCTGACTATTTAACCAAATCCCTTTGTACACCTCGAGGTCTTTTTCCCATTGGTTTTCTAAGTTGATTTCCCCCCCCCACTTTGTGTCCAAACAGGGGAGGCTGCTCCACAGAGAGCTCGTACACCAAGCAGTAAAACCAGAGAGATGCAGGAGGTTTAAATGCAGACCCTGAGAATGGTTTTCTTCCCTTTGACAGCAGCAGCAAAATGCACATTGTGGCTCCCTAAAAGCATTTAAGCTCCAGTCGTCTGCCTGCATAATTTAAAGAGAGGATAAAAATACAGAAATCCCTCCACATCAATGCTGCTGCTGAAGTAAGCCCTGAAGATGTTCAACAAGTTAAAAGTAGTAGTAATAATAATAATAATAATAAAAAAGAATTAAAATCCATCATCACATTTAAAGAACATGCCAAAAATCCAGGAAAGGGAAGGTTGGAGCTGCCCAGGGAGGTGCTCCCTGCCCAGCACAGCTCCAGAGGGTGGCTGAGGCTCAGCAAGGCAGCACCCCAACTGCT